TATTTTATATTTTATATTTTATATTTTGTATGTACGCGTAAATACTAATCTCTCCCTCCCTCCCTCTCCTCTACCTATCTTTCAGTCTTTCTCCTTCTGGCCGAATATTCTTTGCATTGATGCAGCTTCGTAAATGAGCTTAAATACTAAAAAAAAAATAATTTTAATTTCCGTAAAGATAAATTTCCCAACAAAAATGTTTATGAAATCTTTAAGAGAAAGAGAGCTTTGGTTTATTTTCTTAAAGACATATTCAAACTTGTAACAAATATGTTAAAGTTTCCATCTTAAGATATTTTGTTTTGTTATTGGAAATAAATATATATTGTTTCTAAAAGTTTTCTTAATTTTCTACCATGAAAGCTCTTTGTTTGTCGTTTCTCATACTTACCTTGTAAACTTACCTATTTTGTCGCACATTTAAATTTGTTTTTTGATTTGGGCGGGGAGAGCAAAGGAAAGTAAATTTGTGTGTTTTTTCTTTACATAGGGAAATGGCCTCAAGTGGCAAAAAGTTTTCACAACGATTGTCGTAGCTGCTGCTGCTGCTGCTGCCCCTCCGATGGCTTTATGAAGTCAATCAAGTTTTTAATGAAGGTACAGTTGTCTCACAGTTCGTTCCGTTGAATAATTTAGGAAATGTCCGCAGGGGACATTACGTATTTGCCAAGCTCTTTATTATCTTCCTCTCTGCTGCTTGTTCTTCTTGATTGCATCTCGCCTTTGCGTATTGATTCAGGCGGGGACAGTTGAATTTGAATAACGTTTTGACGCATTTTTAATTTCCTTTTGATTGCTGCGCATTTATAAATATATACCAAGCATAATAAAGACGGTCTGGCTCTTACAATATACACATTTATTTATTTGGGGTATTTAAAAATACAATTTTGTTTCATTTGCCTATATATATCTTTCGTTTTTTTTCTTCTCATGCACGTAAATATTTTCAGTTAGGTTGACGCATATGCATTAAATGATATGAATTCAATTTTTGTTTTTGACGAGGGTTTGTTTTTTTTTTGTTTTTGTTTTTTGTTTTTTTTTTTTTTTTAAGATTTCTGTTTTCTTTATACACTTGCATACACACAACTATTCGTTCGATATACATATGTGTTTCATATATATACAAATATATACATACATACATACTGTTTTATATATGTTTGTATTTATGTTATGTTTATATATGCTCTTGTATTTGTTTTAAGACCATTCGCCATGGGTCTGCAGTTAGACTCTATAAAATAATACCATATGCTGCATCGCAAAGAATTTATTTGACTTGTTTTCGAATTTCACCCGCTGAGGTTGCGTGCCACACATTTCCATTCCCATTGTTCACGAGCTTTGTTTGTCAGCGGGTTTAATTTATTTTCATTATGTGCCACACTCGCATTCGCACTCCGCTTGCTCGCAGTACTCTCGGCCATTTCCGGTGCGCCGTTTACCCAGCATTCTGTCCTTACAATTGACGCCGCACAATGCCAGCTCCCAAAGGCTTTGCCTTTGACTGCAATACAACAAAAGAAATTCATTTCAGTTTTAAGGTTACTTTTCACATTTTTCGCTTCTCGCTTGTTTTTTGTTTTCACCAAGTCACAAGTGGAGAATTCGAGGCGATAAACTTTTAAATTGAATGAGCCCGAAAGTAATTTATATGCAGCAATGATTTATCTTTATAGAAATTAAACCTGTATTTGCATGCTAAAATCATAAAAAAAAAGAAAATATACAGAAATTTTTGCTCTTTGAAGAAAAGTTGTGAAACGTGAAAGAATAATATTGAAATTAAAAATGAAATATTATAACAATACTAAAAATTGCTTTAGCAATTCTATTGATTCTCTGACTCTCTATTGATAATTAATCGAATGGTAGAGCTAGGGTATATCGTATTTAATTAACAAAAAGAAAAGCTAAAACACACATCACATTTGTAAGTGGTAAAATAAAAAAATTGAGGTATAATAAATTTGCACTTTATTTTTAGCGCAATGCTTAACGTGAAAAACGTAGGAAATATAGCGTATACGCACCATCACACACACTTGTTTTTTTTTTTTAGCGACGGCAACAGCTGCGCGACTCATCAGCGTGCAGCTGCAGCTGTTGCTGTAGAGTGTTTACAACAACCGTTCGAGGTCCTCGCTCTCCGCATCACTGATGTAGGAGTCGGTGTCTGTAAAGTAGTCATCATCGCAGCGATTGCGACGACAGCAAACGCGTCGACCCATTTCATCGTCACTCCAATGCTCAAACTCCTCCTTGTGATGCTCCAGCAGCATCAGCGATGGGAACAAACTGTCGCATCCACTGCAGCTGTTGGAGACAGTGAAACAGAGACAGAGAGAGAGAGAGAGAAGGGGAGATTTGACATTGGAATTGGTTGGCTTTAGCTGGAGTCATTGATTACCCAAAGTGTCGCTTCTTCTGCTGATGCGAGGCCAGCTGCCGATGACAATGAAAGGAGCGATCACACACATTGCAGGTAAGCGATTCATCTGTAAGTGAAAAGTAACGAGTCACTCGTATAAATTCCTACAGGCAATGACTTAAACTTTTTTTGTGTTTTCTTTTTTTTTACTTTTTGCTCATTGCCAACTCACCGTAGTCATCGTCATCGTCGGCCATGGCCAGTGCGTGAAGTCGGCTTATTGTGCTTTCGTTAATCTGCTTGGACATGGCCGATGTGGAGAGGTCCTTTGATGATTTGCCTTTGGCCTGGCATAGGCCCAGCTCACATAATGCGCTCTCCACCACAAAGTTGCCCTGGCAATCGGCGTTCGTGCATGCCAATAGCTGCATGCCCTTCTCATTGCCATTGGCCTCGTCCTGCCCATTGATGTTGTTGCTGTTCGTGCTCGGGTTGTGGTTGGCATTGTTGCTGTTGCCGTTGCTGTTATTGATGTTGCTGCTGTTGCTGCTGCTGGCGGCGCCAGGTGCCAGCATTTCAAAGTCGTCTAGCTCATCGAATGGATCATCGATTTTATGGCCCAGAGACACCGCATCGTCAGCCTCGGCGCTCAGCCGGCCGTAAGCCTTGCGTGGTGGCCGCTTCACGTATTTGTCTGTAACAATAACAGCAAGGACACCCAAACATTTAATTACCACCATCAATTTGTGCAAAGTATTTTGGAGACTCTGTTCGAGTTTTATCTGTGGTGCACATATGCGCCTTGTCAGCTGCCTGGGGCCGACAAGAACTTTCTCTTTGCGCCCCATTGAAATTATAAATTGGTTTTTTATTTCTTTGCGCTGCAGCTGACAATTTATGCGCGTCTTTGTGTTGCCGTCGGCCTTTGTTTCGATCCTTGTCTCAGCTCAGTTCAGCTCAGTTCGGCTCAGGTTTTTGTTTGGCCTACCATGTCCTGCACAAAAGTTTTTGCTGCTTGTCCTCGAGCCGTGAAGTGATAAAATAAGATTTATTGTGCGAGTGTGAATGCTGACTGAGCCCCGCCATAAATAGCAGCGGCCTATAAATTCTCTAAAGGTTTTTATTTATGAACCTATTTGTGGTGGCACCTGAACACTTCAGCCAACTGGCTATGAAGCGCTCATTAACGCATCGACTGGCGAGCCTATTTCAAATGGCTAACTGGGTATCCAGGCGTATACGCAATACTCCGCTTTCAGCTTGAATTTTTCCTGTTTTTTATTCAGCTTGAATATTTCAATAATTTTTATTGCAAAAATATTGTGCCAAATTGGAATTTCCTATCTAACCGATTTTATCAATTTAATGAGCTCATTATTCTGCAGCCGTATCGAAAGTCGAACAATTAAGCCCGCCTTCGGACAATTGTAAAGTATGAAAAAGTTTAGGATTCTTAAAACCAAATTTGAATTTGCTTTGAGTGGTATATGAATATTTCACGGAAATTCCCTAGAACTACGAAGTGCAATATCTTTAGAGGTTCCGCCATTGTTATAAACCAAAATAGAATTCCGTAGAAAGTTCAATTTTTGTAGACAGTTTTTTATTTTTAAATTTAAAGGAATTCATTAGCTTCTATCAAGACTCTGTGTTCTGTGCAAAAAATCTTACATACATAGATCTGCATTAAATAGTACAAGGAGTGAAGACATTGAGTCAATCAAGCCCCAATTTAGTTTGATATCAAAAGTGAGATGTCAAAAGGTTATTCCAAGAATTTCGCTGTGCTGGTAAAGCAGAGTGAAATAAATAAAGGCGAGCATGAATATTAAAAAGCGGGACAAGTAAACACTAACGTACACACACACACACACACACACGCTTACAGCAGGTGCTGTAAGCTGGAGGCAAATGCGAAAATTGTTTGTGAAGGCACGCGTTCGTCCATGAAGCCAAATAAAACTCATTTTTATTGCTAGCATATATATA